CTGTTATTGTTTGTCACTAATATGAAGAGCAGCTTCTGGTTGCAAAAGTTTTAAAAGGCTATATTTTCATTTGTACTTTATCAAATTTATTTTTACAGTTTTTTTAAATATTTGAAACATTTAAACATTTTTAATTTATTTATTTAATGCCTGCAATTTTATCTATTGAATTGTCTATTTTTGTTATTGTTTATGTTAAAAAATATATATTTTTGTGCGGATAAGCCTGAGTGGTCTGATGACTGACCTTTGTATTTGTTCAAATAATTGTTATGGGCAGGTTACAATATAAAAATGTTTGTCATAATCATGTCTTGTGATTATTTGACAGTTTACTTTTAAACTGTAAGTGTATTAAATTTAGTTACGTTAGTTATGATAGTTTTAGTTATGTAAATACAATAAAAAGTAAACCAAGATTTAGAATAATTATCATTTTGATCCATACATTAGTAATGTCTGACTGAGCCTCGTGTCACTTTATGTTCAACAAATTGGGCCCCGAGGTCAAAAAGGTTAAGAACCACTGGTTTAATATCTTAACTCTTTAGTGCTTCTTCTCTGGCTGAAAGTGACAAACTGACTTGTCTTTGTGGACCCGGCAGGAAGACGTTCGTCCTCAGGACACTGTGTCTGTAATCGGAGGAGTGGCAGGAAGCAGTAAACAAGGCCGGAAAGCTGCATGGAAGTTTGTTAAGGACAACTGGGAGGAGCTTTATAATCGCTACCAAGGCGGATTCCTCATATCTCGACTCATCAAGGTTGGAACGTAACGATTTAAACTTAAAACACTCCTTATTTACTGTAAGAATCTCTGACATAAGATCGTGGTTAGCGTCTGATTAACTTTCAGTCTTTACCCACCGTTAGCCAAAGAGGACCTCCTGCTCTCTATGAAACTCATGGCATATAATAAATGAATGAACTTCTGTAAATGTTGGCAGCTTACTAATTCACTGTGGCCAGGAGAAATACCAAAGCTGACACAGAAACATTATTACCCTTCCACCCCAGTGCCACTTGTTCTGAGCACCACAAGACTTTTGGTGTTTGGACAGTAGGGTTGGAAGACAAACCAAGACTTTTCTGTTGACCATCATCAGTCCAGCTACAGGCAACTGGGGGATATAGTTGCATTTGTGACTAAATATTTGTTTTGGGACAGATAGGGCCGTTTGTTTTTTGTACACCTGTTTTTGCCTAAAATCCAGCCACTTTCTTTGGTTTAGGTTACTCAAAACATTTGACAAGAACTAAACCAGATCTGAGCAGCCAGCTCGGCTCCGAAATTAAAAGCTACAGGTTTTTCACCCTGAGAACAGACATATGGTTAACTTCTTCCATGTCCTCATTTTTCCAACAAATGAATTGAAAGCTGGAACCTGCAGGACAAACATCTTCAAACTCATTTTTAAACCCTTTGATGATGCGTCGTGGTGATAGAGGGAACACACTCTGAGCCACAGTGAAGCCTCAAATCATTGGTTTCTTACTAAAACCCTCATTTAAATCAACTTCCATCTGTTATTTTTATGTATTTATTTTGATTTAGCAAAAGCTTTGCCTGAATTATTTCTTAGTTACATTTTTCTTGTTTATCTGTCTTTGCAGCTAACTGTCGATGGATTTGCGATTGATAAAATGGCAGCTGAAGTGAAGGTGAGAGTTAAGTTTTCTAATGTCCTATGTATCTCAATAATCCAAGTAGAAAAATCTAAGAAAAGCCGAGTAGGTCCTCTGGACAAGTTCTTCTTTGTTATAAATCAGTAATGCTGCTCCGTCGTTTTTGTGTCATGGTCGTCTGAAACTGCTCTTTTTTATTATTATTATTATTAAAATTTTTATTCATTTAATTTAAAAAACAAACAAAACACATTAAATGATACAACAAAACAATACAAATAAAATAAAATGAAAGGCAGCAGAAGAAGCAAATCTTATACCTGCTGCTATTTACAAAAAAATATTAATTTCAAATAAAAATAAACCAAATAATAAAACAAAACAAAAAATTCAACTCTTCAAACAGTAATTCATACTAATACAAATTAAACAATTTCATATTTCTTTAATTTTGCTTGGATTGTTTTCTTAAAGGAATTAACTGATCCAATGCTCTTACAGTCATTTTCCAGATTATTCCATAGTCTTATACCTTTTACTTAAGTGCATCTGTTCTTCAAATTTGATCTGTTTTTCGGTTTAACAAACCTTTGTAATCCCTTCAAATTATAGCAGCTTTCCCTCTTAACAAAATGTGATTGGATGTTTGAAGGTAACATTTCTATGAGCCTTATACATAACCTGCAGAATGTTATAATCAACAAACTCATGAAGTTTTAACAATTTTAACTGATGAAACAATATATTAGAAGGGTGATAGTAATGCTTTCTTGTGATAATTCTTATGGCTCTTTTTTATAAAATAAAAATAGGATTAGTAATGGTTTTAAATGCATTTCCCCAGACTTCTATACAATGAATTAAATGTGGAACAATTATTGCATTATATAGTGTAAATAGTGCTTTATCATTAAATAACTCCATAACTTTACACAGTACTGCAATAGATTTTGCCATTTTGTTCTTAGGTAATTCATATGAGGTCTCCATGTCAGTTTTTCATCAATGACACCAAAATACTTCACGTCACTGACTCAGCAAATTTCAACACCATCCACTCTAAATGGAACATCGTTTTCTTTCTATTACTAAATATCATGAAATTTGTTTTATCCAAATTTAATGATAACTTATTATTATTAAACCAATTTTGTTCTTTTACAAATTCCATTTCCATCATCTGTTCTGTTATTACCCAAGCAAAAAAATGTAGTGTCGTCTGCAAATAAAACACATTTAAACAACCCTGATACATTTACCAAGTCAATATATAGAAGAAACAACTTTGGTCCCAATATAGAACCCTGTGGAACTCCACATACAATATTGCAAAGTTCAAATCTTACATCATTAATTTGTTCAAACTGTTTCCTGTTAGTTAAATAACTTGATACCCACTGTAGTGCTGGACCTCTTATACCATATTTATTTAGTTTATCCAGAAGAATACTGTGGTCAATGGTACAGTATCAAATGCTTTATTTAAATCAACAAAAACACTGACGCAGTACTGTTTTTGATCAACAGCTGTTATGTGTTCAGTTAGGTCCATGAGAGCCATTGATGTTGAGTTATTCAGGTGAGAATGTACATGAGGCAGCTGAAAAAAACTGAGTTATTTTTGTGCCACTTATTTTGATGTCTTAAAAGTGACTAAATGTGACTAAATTTAGCATTTTGAGGCAAGTCGAGACTTACGCAGGAATCCCTCTAAACCTCACTGCTGTACATATAAAAGTACTTTTCTAAAATAGACTTCATGAGCTCGTCGTGGAGTGTCGAGGTCGTCGTGGAGTGTGGCGCTCGTCGTGGAGTGTGGCGCTCGTCGTGGAGTGTGGCGCTCGTCGTGGAGTGTGGCGCTCGTCG